TACGGACACCAAACCCTGAAGAGGTCAGCAGTTTCCTGAGACTCCTCCCAGAACACTCCGTTCTCGTGGTCTCATCACAGCTGTGACTTTGGGCTGCAGGGGACAGTTCATCTCTGCTGCTTTCAGCATCTGCCAGGGCTGAGGCCAACAGAGGAGCCATGGTTCCACATGACAGGCAGCCCATGCTGGCTGGAGCCTGGGCACTGCTGGCTCTGGCAGCTGGGACATCTGGGGGGACCCTCCACACGCTCACCTTGTAGTCCTTGGGCTCCAGATTCCCAGCTGCTCTCTGCCTTTTCCCCCATCCCTCAGTCTTCTGTACAGCTGTCCTATTTTGGTTTTGAGACAGGGTCTCATGTAGCCCAGGTTGGCCCCTAAGTTGCTATGTAATTGAGGATAACTCTTAACTCCCAATCTTCCGGCCTTCACCTCCCAAGTGCTGGGATTGCAGGCATGCTTTGCCACGCCCAGCTTCTTATGTGTTTTACAAGTAACATTTTATGGACGAAGTCCAGGGTGCCTTCCTGTACCTGTTCCACGACACACACTGGGGAACTAACAGACTGTTCTTGGTGACAAGGGGCCATGCCAAGGGCAGTCAGGGCCTGGGAAGTTCGATGGCAAGGTACTTGAAGCACAATCCTAATTAGCCTTATTAAATAAAAACCCAGTCAGATATTAGGGGGTGAAAGCTGAAGGATCAGAGCAGCAGAGCAGCAGACACTAGAGTTCTTACCTCTACCAAATCTCAGACCGAAAGGGCAAGATCATAATCTCTACGAATCCTCAACTGAATGGGTCCCGGATCCTGTCTCCACCAGCCTCATACTCCTGTCTGTACCTCCCAAGGGTCTGGGATGAAAGGTGCGAGCCACCACCTGACCTCTATGGTTAACTAGTGGCTAGCTCCGCCCTCTGGTCTGCAGGCAAACTTCATTTGTCAGAACACAAACAAAAGACCACACAACAGGTACTGGCACCTGGTGAGAGAGCCCTCTGCTGTGCCAGCCCGTGGTGGGGTCTACAGGAGGGGTGGGGAGTGGGGGCAGTATGTATTGCTTTGTTCTTAGCTGGTGATAGTGGAGACCAAACCCAGGGCTTGTACACACATGCCTAGGCAAGCACTCACTAATGAGTGTACAAGCCTGTATCTCTCACAGGCTGGCCTCAAACTTGGAGATCCGCCTGCTCTGCTTCCCCAGTGCTGGGATTAAAGGTGTGTGAAATGTGTGTGCCTGGTACCTATGCTTGTCAGAAGAGGAGTGGGATTTCCTGAAACTAGAATTAGGTGGTTGTGAACCGCTGTGTGGGTGCTGGGAATTGAACTTGGGTCCTTGGGGCTTCTGGAAGAATGACCAGTGAGCCACTTTCTAGCCCCTATTGATGATCTGATTGTTGTACTTTAGAAGCTGTTTATATATGTTAGCTAAGTTTTTTTAATCACCTATGACTTTTGTAAATATTTCTCCCAATTTCTCATTCTGTATATATATATATATTCATATATACATACATACATATTGGAGACAGGGCTTTTCTGTGTAGCCATAGCTGCTGTCCTGCAACTCACTGTGTAGACCAGGCTGGCCTTAAATTCAGAGATCTGACTCAGTCTGCCTCCTGAGTTTTTGGACTAAAGGTGTGTGCCATGTTGCCGGGCTACAAACACATACCATAAGGCATTTGTACAATTTGTACAAATACAAATAACAGATGGTTGGTGGTGGTGCCAGCCTTTAATCCCAGAACTACCTTGGGAGGCAGAGGCAGAGGCAGAGGCAGAGGCAGAGGCAGAGGCAGAGGCAGAGGCAGAGGCAGAGGCAGAGGCAGAGGCAGAGGCAGAGGCAGAGGCAGAGGAGGCAGAGGAGGCAGAGGCAGAGAGGCAGAGGCCAGTTTTGTCTACACAGGGAGTTTCAGGACTGCCAGGGTTACACAGAGAAACCCTGTCTTGAAAAACAAACACAAATCATATTTCATAATTGAAGGACCTAAGGTAATCAGGTCCAGCGTATTGAGACATCCCAAGCTCAATAACCAGACAGTTGGATGCAAACCGCAAGAGGTTTATTGTTCACACAGGCACCTGCGGGCACTCCAGCAGCCTTAGCTCGCTGGGCTTTAAAACAGTTTTCTTTTTATATACATAATCTTGGCAAGCAACAGGGGTTTTGCAAAAAGCACGGGCATAATTTAACCTTCCTGGAGAAACCACAAGGTCAAAATTAAGCTTATCTCAACAGTCTGGCGGTTTCATGCGTCAGCACTCTGGACCAGATGTTCTTTTCGATCTGACCTTGTTCCCTGCCTGGGGGACCTTGGGGAATTTTCCACTGGGGCAACCTTCTGAGTCTCAAGGGGGGTGTATTGAGGTCTTTCAATAATGATCAGCAAATCATTTTGTTTTCTGTGAGACTTAATGGGGAGATGGCTCAGTGGTTAAGAGTACTGGCTGCTCATGCCCGGTACCCACATGGTTACAGCCATCTGCAACTCCAGTTCCAGGGGGTCCGATGCCCTCTTCTGGCCTCTGCCTGCCCCAGACATGCACACAGTGCATTCATACAGGGAGGCAAAACACTCATACACGTACAACAGAATAAATAAAAACACAAAGTTGGAGAGTACAAGAGAGGGCTCAGAGGATGAAGATGACCGTCGTGAAAACCTGATGATTTCAAGTAGACCCGATTCCCGACGTGGAAGGAAAGAATTCGTTGGAAGGTCGTCTCTTGACCTCCACGCGTGCACACTGACCCACAAGCACCTACACACACGCACTAAGAAAGTGCAGGAACGAGCTGGGCGTGTGAGTCACACCTGTAATGAAAGCACCCACTGAGGTTAGTCTGGGCTATGGTGTGAGACCTTATTTCTGGGGTGGGGGTGGGGCTCAAAACATTTACAGAAACAATAATGTAGCATTAGCAGATATTATTATTAATCTATATTGTTCTCTTTCTGTAGATCTCCCTCTTAAGAAAAACCATTGACCCCAGTTTGTGTTAGCTTTCTACTCCTGGTCACGCGGCCTTCCCCTGGAGCGTGGTCAATGTACCAGGTGTATCTGCTGAAGAAAACTGACTTCCCTCTCTCAGCACCAGCAGCTCTCAAATGCCAGTCATTCCTCTTAGCTTCTCGCTCATGGTGGGGCTTCATGGCTACCTCTCCCTCCTTGGGCCCTAGCCCCCATGGGGTCTCTGTGAGTCAACAAGTCTATGTGCATTCTGTTTTCTAGTCCTGGCTTCCTGCCCTGGCCTTGACCCTCTGACATCAACATCCAGATGTCACGCTCTCTTCCACCTGGGGTTTTTCCACTGTGCTGTAAACCTGTATATAAGACTGCTCCCTCCTACAAGACAGAGACCTCTTAGCACTTGCAATAAAGACACACACTCTCTCTCTCCCTCTCTCTCTCCCTCTCTCTCTCCCTCTCTCTCTCCCTCTCCCTCTCCCTCTCCCTCTCCCTCTCCCTCTCCCTCTCCCTCCTGGCAATAAAGGCAGCGCATGCATTCTCTTAGTACAAACAGCTGGACGTCTTGTCTTTCTTTAACTGATCCCTTGGACTTGTTGTGGCGCGGGCGCCACATCCCTCCACACTGGGGTTCTGTCTGGCTTGATCTTGGAGAGGTCCTGTGCATGTGCTCACAGTCTGTGCCTTCATCTGTGCATTAGTCTGCTATGTCTGGAAACAGTTTCCTTACAGTCACCCACTACCTCTGACTCTCACATAGATAGATCCCTGAGCCCCAAGGGGAGGGCTGTGGTATTGATATCCCATTTAGAGTCACTATTGTAGTGACCATTGTGGGTTTCTATATTGATCATCACTTACTGCAAGAAGCTTTTCCGATGAGAGTCAAGCAATGTACTGCTCTATGGGTACAGTGATCAGTCACTAGGAATCATTTTATCGCTATTGTATCTCAGCAGAATAATAACAGTGGGTTTTCTCCCAGGGCCCGTGACCTAGCATGGTTCAGTTTCCAGGAGTAAGGATGTTGTAGACATAGCACATCTTCCCAGTGAGGAATCCCTCCACACACTTAAGAGACAAAAGAAAAGCTCTCTACTAAGCATGGCCAACCGGGTCTCAGGCCCAAGTAAGAATCTGCCCTGAGCATATGATGTCCCTAGCTTATATACACCTTAGGCTGATGCAATTCACATACACTTTAGTCCTTAAATCTCGTTTAGGTCCTCGCTTCAAGTCACACTTTGGACAATTTAAACAGAGACAGGAGCCCGTGAGTCTGGCCACTCAGGCAGATGGGAGATTTAGACAGCAAAAATATTGCCACAAATATTTCTTAAGTACATACACCAATGTTGTTCTTTTTCGATAGTTGTTACCCAGGGTCATCTTCCCAGCTGGAAGAATCATGCTTTTTCTAGAAGACAAGTGCGGGCTTTATGGGTTTCTAGCAGGCCAGGACTTAACATTGGTTGTGACCCTACTCTGTCCCCTTGAGCTGCCTGTTAGAGGCATGTTCTTTGGTGATGGGCCTGATGGCTGGGTCATCCTGGTGAACAAGCATTTACATCATAGCATAGTAAATTTTGCTTATCTCTAACAGGCTTGGTTAGCAGACTACTTATCTTTGGGACAGTGCTCTCTTAGCTAAATTCTACTTTCTGCTGCTTAGTGTCACCCAAGCAAATCTATTGGTAAATCCTTTATAACATCAGTTCTATTACTTTGAGTTTCTTCTATGCCAAAGAGATAGGAGCATATTTAAATTGATTAGTTAAGGAAGGTTTCCTGGGGAAAGGTGCAGCTCAATTGAAAAGGACTAGACTATTTATAAAAACAGCTTTATAGCCAGGTGGTGGTGGTGCATGCTTTTAATCCCAGCACTTGGGAGACAGAGGCAGCTGGATCTCTGTGAGTTTGAGGCTACATTGGTCTACAAAGTAAGTTGCTGGAAGCCAGGGCTGATACACAGAGATACCCTGTCTCAAAAACCAACTAACCAACCACACGAAGAAACAAAACAACAGTATTATTTTTCTATTTATTTACTTTATTGTGGCTGGTGTGGGAGGGCATGTGCATCCAACATGGGCGTGTGTAGCCAACCGTGTCAATCAGTCAGTCCTCTCTTATCACCCATGTGTTGTGGACAAAATTCAGGTCGTCAGCTTTGGCCGTAATTGTTTTTGCCTACTGGGTCATCTGGCCAGCCCTATTTATTTGTTTTGAGACAATGTCTTACTCTGTAGCCCAGGCTGACCCCAGCTCACCATGACCCCTCTCCCAGTACTGAGATTATAGGTATGAGCACCACATTTAGTAAGGAGCAGATTTTTGTTTTTGTTTTTTGAGACAGGGTTTCTCTGTGTAGCCCCGGCTGTCCTGGAACTCACTTTGTCAACCAGGCTGGCCTCAAATTCAGACATCCACCTGCCTCTGGCTCCCAAGTGATGGGGTTAAAGACAGGCACTACTGCCACCCAGTTAGGAGCAGACCTTTTATGTTTGGTTTTTGTTGTTGTGTTTTTGAGACAGGACTCTATGTTAACACTTGATGTCCTGGGACTTACTATGTAGACTAGACTGGCCTCCAGCTCACAGAGATGCACCTGCCTGCCTCTGGAGTGCTGGTATTAAAGGCGTGTTGTTGTACTATGACCTGGCGTGTTGTACCATGGCCTGGCATGTTGTACCATGGTGCTGACATCTTTTAGGAAGAGAACACAGCAACATAGGATGCTTCTTGACACAGTCAGGGAGAAGATGGTCCGAGGGGCTGGGAGGTCAGAGTCATACCGGTCTTCAGCAAAGGGCTTCCCGTGCCCCAGCCTTCTGAGTGCAGCTGTACTTTTCCCTCTGCCTGCTGTGGGATGTCCTTCTGTGTGCTGTGAAAACGTGTTGCTCTTTTTGGTTGATGAATAAAGCTGTTTTGGCCTAAGGCAGGAAATCCAAACAGATACTGAGAGAAAGAAGGCAGAGTCAGGGAGTCTCATGTAGCCACTGAAGGAGGAAGATGCCAGAACATTACCTGTAAGCCACAGCCATGTGGTGATACACAGATTAATAAAAATGGATTAATTTAATTGTAAGAGCTAGTCAGTAATATGCTTGAGCCATTGACCAAACAATTATAATTAATATTAAGCCTCTGAGTGTTTACTTGGGAATTGGCGGGTGGGAGAAAAAGCTGTATTTACATCTGCCTGCTGCTGGGCCACCGAGAGTGGTCACCTGAAATATGTGATCCCTTCCACAAAACATCAACCTCCCAAGCTCCTAGCTCCTGGCCCCAGCCCTGTTCCTTCCCCCTCCTCTCCAATTTGCCCTCTTTCCCAGGCTTCTGGGTGCTGTGGTGTCTGTACTAGGACTTTGGAGGCTCTGGGACCTAGGTTCATAGCTTGGCTTTGACATTCAGCTGCTGTCACAGGAACATGTGGGGGAGAATTTTACTGAGCCTCAAATGGGGCAATGACGTCTGTGACAGCAGCTGGCACACAGCGACTGTTTGATAAATGGCAGTGTCATGCCCTTTCCTGCCAGCCTTAGGGGACTGTCTTATTTTCTTCACAGCTTGGCTGCTTCCGTCTGGGAGGCAGAGGGGTGTTTTAGATTTGGGGTACCCACTGGCTCCCTAAAAGGCTCTCTGGGAGAGTCAGATGTCTCTTTTAGAACCCATGTGGAAGAATCTGGAATAATGGCTGGAGCTGAGGTGAAATCCAACCATGGACTTGGGCATGAAGTACACCTGTCACAGGCTGAGGCGGTGCTGGGACTTGCTCTCCCGTTAGCCTCAAGAAGGCCCAGGAGCTGGCCTTTAATCCCAGCACCAGAGAGGCAGAGGCAGGGGGATTTCTGAGTTCAAGGCCAGCCTGGTCTACACGATGAGTGCCAGAACTACACAAAGAAACCCTGTTTAGGAAAACAAAAACAAAAACAAAAAAGGTCCATCCTTATCTAACGTGAAGTCCGTCCTTAGCCTTATTGCACACTGCAGGAAACTGAGGTTCCGAGAAGTAAAATGTCACATCCTTAAACCATACCATTAAGAAATGAAATGAAGAGTGGAATCAATTTTTCCTGCCCACCGTAAACCCAGGCACCCTGTCACCAGGCCACTTGGCCTCACAGCCTCCCTAGTACAGGTCTGGGTGTCAGCAAGCCCCATTCCCTGCAGAAGCAGAACAGAGACATAGGTACCACAGTGAACTGGTCATGAAATCAGAAGGATGTGACCCCTGCACCCCATCTCCTTCAGAGAAAATGGGAAGTCTGAGACTTGAGAGTGCCCTGGCCCCCCAAATACTAAGACCAGAGACTGATCCCCGTCACCCCCCCCCAGCAATGGGGTTTTAAACATAAACGGCTCTCACACAAGGAGGACAAGCTGAGTCACGGTATATTAATAGACGAGCCTCCTCATTTCTCCTCCTTCGCCAGGGTGTACCAGGTTCATTCGGGGCTCAGGCAAAGGGTGACAACCTGTTTATCATCCAAGGTGCCCAAGCAAGCTGTTGAGACAACCCCTGAGAACGAGATCTGGATGCTGGCCCAGGCTCAGACCTGACCTGACCCTCACAAGGCCAGACCCAGGCAACTCTTCCTACTCCAATTGCCCCACCTCTCCCGGCACACCCCAGGCTACCTGAGGCAATCGCACACACCAGGGGTCAGATGATTAAACTAACCATAATATTTACTGGGCGCTCATACATACCAAATGCTAAGAGTTTTAACATCGTCTTTTTGCTTGTCTGTGTATTTTTGTTTTGTTTTTCTTTAAGATTTATTTATTTATTATGAATGCAACATCCTGCTTCCATGTATGCCTGCAGGCCAGAAGAGGGCGCCAGATCTCATTTCGGATGGTTGTGAGCCACCATGTGGTTGCTGGGAATTGAACTCAGGACCTCTGGAAGAGCAGTCAGTGCTCTTAACCTCTGAGCCATCTCTCCAGGCCCCTTTTGTTTTTCTTTTTAAAGATACTCTTTCTATAGTCCTTCTGGATGGGAACTCATTATGTAGACCAGGCTGGCCTCAAACTCACAGAGGTCTGCCAGTCTCTGCAACCCCATCAACATTGAGCTGGGACTAAAGGTGTACCACTGGACCTGGCTGTGAATTGCTTCTTTGACACAGAGTGAGACTCTGTGGTTGTAGCTAGGCTAGTCTCAAATCTACAATCCTCCTGCCTCAGGCTTCCAAGACCTGGGATCATAGGTTTGCTTCCTGATACCCAACTAAGATCACTTTTTGGGTCCTAGAGCTCAAACCTAGGGCCTTGGGTATGCTGAGTAAATGAGCTATCTTTCTAGACATCATTTCACTTTTTTATCCCCAAGATAGGGTTTCTGGGTGTAGCCTTGGCTGTCCTGAAACTCACCATGTAGACCAGAATGGCCTCTAACACCTGCCTCTGCCTCCCAAGTGCTAGAATCAAAGGCATGTGCCACCACTGCCCAGCTTTTTTTCCATTTGTTAGCACTGTGTGTGGGGTGTTGTCATGTGTGCCATCACACACCCATGAAGATCAGAGGATGACTTGCAGGAGCCTGTTATCCTCTTGTCTGGTGGTTCTGGGGTGGAACTCGGGTCCTGGATTGTCGGTAAGCACCTTTATCAGCAGTCTTTCTATTCTGTCCAGGCTGGCTTTGAACTTGTGACTCTCTTACATTAGCCTCTGGAGATGCTGGGATTTCAGGCCTGAACCCTCAAGTTGTCTTCCAATACCTTAAGTAATCTTCACAACTCTCTAAATTGTATGTTAATTTAATATGATTTCTATAGGTGAAGAAATCAAAATGCAAAGGGTTTAAGAATGTGCCAAGAGGGCTGGAGAGATGGCTCAGAGGCTAAGAGCACTGACTGCTCTTCCAGAGGTCCTGAGTTCAATTCCCAGCAACCACATGGTGGCTCACAACCATCTACAATTTAATCTGGTGCTCTCTTCTGGCATGTAGGTAGAACACTGTATATGTAATAAATAAATAAATCTTTAAAAAAATAGTTTTCCCTTTAAAAAAAAAAAAAGAATGTGCCAAGACCACACAGCTGAGCCCGGCGTGGTGTGGAATGTCTGTAACCCCAGCACTTCGGAGGTGGGAGCAGGAGGATAAGAAGTTTAAAGTCATCCTTGGCTGAGTGGCAAGTTCAATGCTAGCCTGGGCAACATGGAACCCTGTGTCAAAAAGAAATTCACTGTGTAAACAGGGAATGCTTGCAGCAACCCTCTTGCCTCTGTTTCCCCATGCTGATGTTACAAGCAGGAACCAACACATCAATTGGGGATTTCGTTCTAGCATCTTTGTTGTTTTGTTTTGATTTTAATGCCCAAATCACATGTTTTACCCATATGCTTATTTACATAACCACATGTATTTAGTATATTTTTTACTGCATTTATTTATTTTGTGTCTAAAAGAAACAATATGTGCAGATTATATGTAACTATTACTATTACTAGACTATTAAAAAATAATGGAGCCAGAGAGATGGCTCAGCAGGCAAGGGTACTTGCTGTCAGGTCTGGCAACTTGAGTTCCATCCCTGGGACCCACGTAGTGGAAGGAGAAAACCAACTCCTAAACTTCGTCTTCTGGTCTCCACATGCATGCATTGTTTCTTTTATACTACTAAGATTCCTTCATATTAATTCGCAGTATGGTTAAGAGCAGCGGTTAAGAGCACTGGCTGCTCTTCCAGAGGACTGGGATTCAATTCCCAGCACCCACATGGCAGCTCACAGCTGTCTGTAACTCCTGTTCCAAGAGATCAGAAGCTCTCTTCTCACCTCCACGGGCACTGGGCACACACAAGATCTTAGACAAACATGCAGGCAAAACACATAAACTTCAAAAACATGGAAAACTCCGTGGCTTTTTTCTTCTCTCTCTCTCTCTCTCTCTCTCTCTCTCTCTCTCTCTCTCTCTCTCTCTCTCTCTCTCTCATTCTAATTCACCCCCTCGCTCTCTTTCTTTCTCTCTCCTTCTTCCCTTTCTCCATTCCTGTTATGAGTTTCAAGTCTCACCATGTAGCCCAGGCTAGCCTCCAACTTGAGGCAATCCTCTTGCCTCGGCTTTTCCCAAGTGTTGACAAGACAGGTGTGAACCCGCACACCTCACTTCCATGTAATTTTTAAAAAATCATTGACTTTTATTTCATATGTATTGGTGTTTTGCTTGCATATATGTCTGCATATGTGTGTGAGGATGTTGGATCCCCTGGAACTGGAGATCTAGAGTGGCTGTGAGCCACCATGTGGTTGCTGGGAATTGAACTCAGGACCTCTAGAAGAGCAGACAGTGCTCTTTTTTTTTTTTTATTGGTTTTTACGAGACAGGGTTTCTCTGTTTTGGAGGCTGTCGGTCCAGCCTGGCCTCGAAATCACAGAGATCCGCCTGCCTCTGCCTCCCGAGTGCTGGGATTAAAGGCGTGCGCCACCAACGCCTGGCTACAGACAGTGCTCTTAACCTCTGAGCCATCTTTCCAGTCCCTCTTGTTTTATTTTTGAGACAGGGTCTCACAGTCCACATGTCTGGCCTCAAAGCTAGGCTGGCTTTGAACTTCTGATCCTCCTACCTCTATCTCTTTAGAATTTAGATCGCCAGTGTACACCTGCACTCTCGGTTTTATTTGGTGCTGGGGGCCGAAGACAGGCATTTGTACAGTACCGTCCTCGGAGCCAAGCACCCGCCATCTTCATGAGTTCAGCTCCATTTGTTCACAAACGATCGTGACATCTGGGCTTGTCACTTTGGAAGTTCACTCTTAGAAAGAGGGGGCAGGGGCCACCACCTCAAAATCCAGCCATTCTCAGCCAGTTATATGCAATTCTGCCCCGATTTCACATAGCCTCCGGTCTTGGGAGGGGCTCCAACAAGAGGAGCACTAAGGGTGGGAGGCTGTGTGGAAGCCATCGTCTACACTGGATAAAGACT